TCCAGTTGTGTACAGATGGGCTTTGGGCTCCACTCCAGCCCCTTTTATTCACATTGATAAGATTTTTTTGGGTCTTTTGATGCCTGATAACTGATACTCTCAACACCTCATGATCACACAGACTGGAATACTTCTTCCATATAGGCTTATTTGCTTCCCAGCTAGATGGCCACTTGCTTATCTTCAAGCCTTTAAGACCTTAGACACTATATCTTGTAATAGCCAGCACCATCAGCTATCTTCACCACACTTGTTCATGTACCCATTTTGTCTTCAGCGATCATGTGGGGAAGGTGAGTATCAAACAGTGCCAGGCTGTCAGAACAAAGTGTTTTTGTGTTAAGGGAGGGCTTCAGTAGAGGCCCAGAGTCCATCGCTCTCTTAATGCATAACATATAAATATATGTATATTGGCCTCTATCCCTTTCATTATAAATTAATATATTTCCATATAGTCATGCCTATAGCTTTACCTTTATAAATAGCATTTACCTCCTATTTAATTCCTTTTGTTTCACTTTCCTCCTATCCTACTATCATACTTACCCTTCATTTGGCTCTCAGTAATTCCCCTCGGATACATTGCTTTTGATTAAACTCACCAGGCATTATATGCCCCACTCGCCATCAATTTTAGATCTCTTTTTGTTCCCTTATCCCTTAGTTTGTTGGCTCCCTGCTCCCCCTCTTCTCCCATATCCCCCTGAACTGCCGGTCCTGTTGCTTTCTCTTCGAGATTGTCCATCCTGCTTATCTTCTAAAGGTAGACACAGGGCAAAAGAAAATGTAAAAACAAAAAGCAAAACAAGAAAAATACCCAATAGATAGTTTCCAGGTCTGTCTGCTGACCCTTATGTGTGTGGAAGAGTTTCGTAGGTATCCTTTGTCTTTCATGACCTTAATACTTTTGAAGAGTGTGGGTAAATCATTTGATAGACTGTTTCTGGTGGGGGGGGCGGCATCGTGTGTCAAGTTGCGATTGGTTGTGTGTCAAGTTGCGATTGGTTCTCCTTTCTTCCCCTTCTTCCCCGACCTTCTCCCTATCCTCCTGGACCACAATGCCAAGATTTCTTACACAGAACTGTAATGCGTCTGAAGTATTATCATACTTGCAAATTAGGATACATTTGCATCTTACTCTGCCTCAGTGTTATGGATGTTGGCAGAAGACACAGATTTCTACCTAGTTCTGAGGTAAAAAGCAATATTACTTTAGCAAAGGACACAGCATGAGCTTTATGTTCATATAAACCCCTTTACTCAGTGAATGAGTGACTCCACAAAGTTAGAAGCCATAATCTTGAGTTTTTAACGGTTTTACTGACATACAATTTACAGTATCATACATTTCAATAGTTTAATTATATTAATAAGAATTGTATAACCATCACCACAGCCAATTTCAGTATACTTCTTCCTTATACTCGTTGTCAGCTCTCTGTTTCTGCCAGCCTCCCCTGCAATTTTTAAGACCCCAGACACTATTATTTTTGTTTTGAATCTATTAATCCAGTTGCTGCTTCTATAGGCTTACCTTTTCTGAGTTTCATATTAATATTTCATATTCTGAGTTTCATATACAGAAAAATATAACAAAATCAAAACAAGATACAAACAAATGGCTTAACAACCCTGAAAGAATGAAACAGATAAACCACAATTGAAAACAAACGAAATATTCAAAACTGCAACAATATACATTGAATCAAGAGGTAGGTCAAAGATAAGGTTTCACACCTTGGCCTAATGAAAACTGCAGTAATCTACCCTACATTGTACTCTGTCTGCTAACGAGGCCTTTCCCATGTTTGGTTCATGGTCAGAGATGATTGACCCCAGGCTTAATCTGATCGGGGGCTCTGGATGAGTTTTGGGCTTTCATTGCTATTCACATCCTTCTGCAAACTGGTTGCTGTGCACTTAACACCGTTCCCTGTTCCAGGTTTGGTTTTTATTATTAATAGCTCTCGGATCACATAGATTGGCGTGTTTCTTCCGTGTGGACTTGGCTGACCCCTCACTTAGATGGCTTTGTTTTAAAACAACGTTTAAGACACCAGACACTATTCTTTTTAATGGCCAGGCACCATCTGCTTTCTTCACCACACTTTGCTAGAGCACCTACATCTTCAGTGATTACTTCATAGGGGTAGGTTTTATTTAAGGCCATGCCATAAGACATAATTGTTTTTTGATTAAGGCTATGCTTAAGTGCAAGATCA